TCACAGGATCTAGAGATACACAAGTGATTATTTAATAATCACTTTTTAAAATATCATTCTTTAAATCTGTTTATAAGTTGTTTCTTCTATAAGATTCTAAGTTACCTAAAGGCAGAGTTTGAAATAATTATAAATTCTACTGGCATGGAAGATAAGGCCACCCAGGTTGCTCAACAGGAATAAAGATGGAATACCAATACTTAAATTACCATCAGTTCTAAATTAAATCAATTTTCAAATATTAGATTGCACAGTCTTACTTTTTTGAAATGCTAATTAAAGATGGCTCATGCTGGGCAATTTTACTTTTTATTAACAAGTATACATCACCCTAGGAACTAGCATCATGTTGATTTTAGATGCTTCTCAAATCTTGTTCCACACCTCTAGTTAGTGTGAGTCACTTCAATTTCTAGAATGTGAAAAACTATACATCAAAAAACATTGAGGAGTGGATAGGAGTCCTGGTTTCCCCATTTCCTACATGTGTGACCTTGGATACAAAACTTCTATGATTTCAGTTTCATGCATGACATGGTCTAGCCTTCTTAAAGTGTGCCTGCCACAAGAGCCATCTGCATCTGAGATATTTAGGCCCACATCCCAGGCCTGCTAAACCAAAATTTCTGAGGTTGGAGATCAGGAATCTGCACTTTTACCAAGAATCACACATAGTACACTGAGAGCTGAAAACCACAACGGTGAAAAAACAACATGCGCTGAAGAAAAGCAATGAAACAAGACATAAAACCTGATTGTTAATCTCTGCCACCAAATTTGCTTTGTACACACAGAAAAATTACTTTTTTTTTTTTGAGACGGAGTTTCACTCTTGTTACCCAGGCTGGAGTGCAATGGTGCGATCTCAGCTCACCGCAACCTCCGCCTCCTGGGTTCAGGCAATTCTCCTGCCTCAGCCTCCTGAGTATCTGGGATTACAGGCACGCGCCACCATGCCCAGCTAATTTTCTGTATTTTTAGTAGAGAGGGGGTTTCACCATGTTGACCAGGATGGTCTCGATCTGTTGACCTCGTGATCCACTCGCCTCGGCCTCCCAAAGTGCTGGGATTAGAGGCTTGAGCCACCGTGCCTGGCCTGAAAAATTCCTTCTTTAGGTTTCACTCTCCTACTATAAAATAATGTGACTAAACAGGATGATCACTAACTGGTGAGACAGTAAGACCTCCAATTCTTAATTTTCAGTCTAAAAAGCCCTGGTAGCTCCTATTCCCCACAATATTTCAAGTGTACAGAGGTTTAAATGCATGAGTGCCATGCATATTCACAGTGCCATCTATTATACATTATATATTGACACTACTAACTTTTATATACAAAATTTGAACTGTCAAATATTTCCTGTTAATCCACAGCAACCTTTCCTGCCACCTCATAATTCAATTTCAGCAGCACTGACATCTTGGTATAGAAGTGGCTAGGCAACTGTGTGATGTTTTATTGTGTTCTGCCATTATCTTATAAAACTTAGTGGTGAACAGAAAGACAAGTATGTACACTGGTGATAAGCCCAGATCTCATAAACATATTCCAGCGGTGACAGAGATGTAAAATATTAGGTAAAATATCAAATCTGTAAAATACAGAATCTCTAGCAGCAGTCATACATTCACTGGAACCAGCCTGGAAACCTGGGCGTTTGATTATGAAGGAAAAGAATAATATTCCTCTTTATGAATGAAAGGCAAAAGCCTGTGTCAAAATTTGAAGGTTAAAAAGTTTATACTTCTTGTGGCTCTCTGGAAACAAAACCCATCACTCCACCATTATATGTTTATCTTACACACACATACGTACATATATACATTTGAAATAAAATCCACACAGCTTTCCTCAATACTGTTTTCCTAATTCTTTACTCTCCTAATAACACTGTTTATGCATGTTTAACAATAAAGTTATATATCTATACTGTTTTTAAAAGACTTTCTTATCTTTCTAGTTGAAAGCAACTGCCTGCTTGTAGTTAACATGGGAATTGTGTTCACTTTCCTGAAGATTATGTAAACTTATGCATTTTATCTTACTTTCAAAACTGAAGCTCTTATTAGTTATGTCCTTTGGGTATATCGAAGGTATTTGTTGTCCCCTGCATTAAAGTTCTAAAGAGTGATTGAAAATTCTTACTTGCTTTTATCGGCTGTACAAAGTACTATACATTTCTGCATATGATTAAGTTTCTTTTTTTTTTTTTTTTGAGACAGAGTTTCGCTCTTGTTACCCAGGCTGGAGTGCAATGGCGCAATCTCGGCTCACCGCAACCTTCACCTCCTGGGTTCAGGCAATTCTCCTGCCTCAGCCTCCTGAGTAGCTGGGATTACAGGCACGTGCCACCATGCCCAACTAATTTTTTGTATTTTTAGTAGAGACGGGGTTTCACCATGTTGACCAAGATGGTCTTGATCTCTTGACCTCGTGATCCACCCGCCTCAGCCTCCCAAAGTGCTGGGATTACAGGCTTGAGCCACCGCGCCTGGCCCATGATTAAGTTTCTTTATTGTTATCACCTCCCAGTTTATTCTGTCACCTTTCAAGTTATCTGAGGTTTTTATTGTTATTACTTTGGACTTTTAAAAAATCTTTATTAATTATTCTTTGTTTTCTTCTCAAAGAGAGTTCCAAAATCACATAGTTGGAAGTTAGTGTTCTTTTTTTTAATTTTTATTTTTATTTTACTTTAGGTACATACTATATCTGGCATTTCTCCCCATGTTATCCCTCCCCACCCTCCCCTCCCTCCCTAACCCCAATATCTCTCCCCTACCCCCACCAACTGCCCCCAGTGTGTGATGTTCCTCTCCCTGAGTCTACGTGTTCTCATTACTACCTCTCCGACATCTTGAAAACTGACTCTCTCAAATTAGTTTTCTTCGTCTTATTTGCTTATTTATTTTTACTTTGCTGAAAGATATCAGTAGAAAGTTGCCAATCTTATAAACGTGAATCATATCAGTTATCTATTCACTCTGTACATCAACATTCTTGTAATTCAGACTATGTCTGTTCTTCTAAATAAATCCTTCAGTTAGTGTTTCATATAAACTAAACTGGTTTAAGATATTTGACTTCAAAAATGAGTATGGCATAAATATTTCCTTATTCTGAGTCCTGTTCTTTCCTATACAAGGAAAGAATGAATCACTCCTTTCTATGTATTCCAAAATATCTCTTCCATAACACTTCTGATGCTTTTTCATTATTTGTTTTGGAAATCCTAGTCAACCTACCAAGTTTTAATATGCCCTATGAGGGACACCCACTGAAATTCCTTGTACATAAATGATACTCAATAAAAACTGGTTGAAATAGTGAAGTCATAAATTAAAAAGTCAAGAAAGAAGTCAAATGATTTCCTCATACTCTATACTAAATAATTGCCAAATGAATTTAAAATGTAAATGAAAAAACTATAAAAGTAAATTTTTTAATTATGATAAAATTTCTTATAACCTCAGCTGGTGGAAGTCTTTTATAACTGTGTCACAAATGTAGAAGCCATCAAAGAAAAGTTTGTTATATTAAATAAAATAAAAATTAAACATTTCTGCATGGCAAAAATTATGGTAAGGAAAGCCAAAGTATAAATGGAAAAAAATTGGAAGCTCATATCTCAAATTGCTACATTCCCTGATTTAAAAAAGAAAATCCTACAAATCAGTAAGGGTGGAAAAAAGAGGCAATTGAAAAATTATTCAAAATAATTTGAGGAGACAGGTCATAGAAAAGGAAACACAAAAAGTTCTTAAATATAAGAAAAAATGGGTCAGGCACAGTGGCTCACGCCTGCAATCCCAGCACTTTGGGAGGCGAAGGCAGGTGGATCATGAGGTCAGGAGTTCAAGACCAGTCTGTCCAAGACGGTGAAACCCGGTCTCTACTAAAACTACAACAATTAGCCAAGTGCAGTGGCAGGCAGCTAAAACTCCAGCTAATCAGGAGGCTAAGGCAGGAGAATTGCTTGAACCTGGGCAGCACCACTGCACTCCAGCCTAGCAACAGAATGAGACTCTGTCTCAAAAAAAAGAAAAATACACACACATATGTATGAAAAAATGTGCAATCTCACAATTAAGAGAAATATAAATTCAAACTAAAATAAAACATTTTACAGAATGGAATGAGTCAAGAGTTTGTTAACATACTGTATTGATACAAATGTAAATAATGAACATTATTTGGTAAAAGTGTAAAGCAGCACAACCACTATGGTGGGCAGTATGGCAATGCTATGGCTTGAATGTCTGCACCATAACTCACATTGAAATTTAACTGCCATTGTAACAGGGTTGATAGGTAGAACCTTAAAAAGGCAGAGCTCTCATGAATTGACTAGTATTCTTACCATGGAAATGGAAGGAGTTATCACAGGAGTGAGCTCAGGATAAAAGAATAAAGTCAGGCCCATTTCTCTGTCTCCTGTGTTCACTTCTGCTATGGAATGACCCTCACCAGATGCCAGTGTCATGCTCTGGGACTTTCCAGTCTCCAGAAGTGTGAGCCAAATACAGTTTTGTTCTTCATAAATTATCCAGTCTATGATATTCTGTTACACAGGGAAAAAATGAACGAAGACAGGCAGTATCTATCAAAAGTCCAAATGCACAAACCCTGGAATAGAATGGTTTGACCCGCAAACTCCACTTCCAGGAATTTATCTTACAGACATGTTGCCACATGCATGCAAGGATGGTTATACCGTAGCGCTGCTTGTGCGAGCAAAAAACTAGAAACAACTTAAATACTTATTAACAGGGAACTGGTTATATAAATCATGGTTTGCCAATACAATGCAATACTGTTGCCATAACAAAGAATGAAGAAATAAAACTCAATGATACACAAAATGAAAAGAAATTGATGTTCAGAACAGCATTCATAATACTACCATCTATGTAAAACAGAAGAAAAAAGAATATATATATATATATATATATATATGCTTACATATGCCAATAATATTTCTATAATGACATAAAAACTAATGATATAACTTGCCTGTGGGAAAGATAACAGGGTATCTATTAGACAGGAGTTTTAAGATGTTTAACATACATACTTTTACATTTTAAAGCATGAGAATGTATTGCCTATTTAAATTTACTTATATTAAGCTGGTTTCCTAAGCCAGCATAGTAGATCAAAAGGTTAAAAAAGGAGAATAAAAATCAAGTGACTGTTCTTACATCAGACATTTAAAACATTTTGATTTTTCTTGACACTCTACATGAATCTGTATATGTACCCAGGTTTGTCATTTGAGATATTCTAAACCTTTAGTTTAATGTTATATCCATGGAAACATAACCTGATACAAAAATTTCACATACACATAATCATAAAATCCGTTAAACACAGTTTATTGAAAGCATTTACCAACGGTAGTCATTTTTTGTTTTTCCACAAATATTTATTGAGTATCTATTATATGGAAGGTCATGTTTTAGACATTAAGGATACAACAAGCAACAAAGCAAGAATAGTCTCTGCTACTGTGGAGCTAATATTATAGTGGATAGTAGACCCAGTAACCAAGTTCTAATATGTAACTTTCTGTCTACCATGAATCAGTGATGTTCCTAGTCAAAAACAAGAACCAAAAAAAAAAAAAAACTTGACTCAGAGGATTTGTTAGCAATGGCTTAAAAACTTACCCACTAAATTGAGGATTTGAGTTTTATTAATCCTAATCCTACTGTAGTCTACATTTAAGTGCTCACTGTCTGCTAAACCATGCTTTAAATGTACTCTTTTATATCATGCTCACAACAGTCCTATGAGATGGGTACTATTATTAGTTCCACTATCCAAATGAGAAATAACTCTAAAGCCCATGAAATAATCACTCTCTACACTGCCTCCTGTATGACTCTAATTACTGGCTTCTGACTTAAAGAGATTACAGATAAGTTTAAAGTTTCACCCTGGGCTCTCTCACTCCAAACCCCAAAAATAATTCCTGGCATTAAAAAGCTACAAATTTGAAATTCATGAAGATGTAGCTCAATGAAAATCATGCTAAAAAGATGGAATCTATATTTTTATTTAGGCCAATGCACCTAGTTGCATACCTTTATAAATGATCTTAAACTCCTGTTCCTTATTTTAAAGACTTAACCACAAATACATAACCCTCACTAAAGTGTCACTACTTAGACACTAACATTATTGCCCTGTATCTTGGGCTTATTTCGAACTCCCAGGGAATGTGACGCCTTCTGCTATAGTTAGTTGTAAATGACTGTCAACATATTCCTCAGTTAGATCCAGCTGCACATATCCAGAGGTTCTCAAAGTGTTGTCCAGAACCACCAGTAGCATCACATGGGAAGGAACACACTGACATGCCAATTCAAACTGCCCCACCCTAGACTCAGCTTTCCAGATGTAGTCAAAACAAAAACCCAGAAGATTCAAATTTCAGATAAACAATGAATTTAACCCAGTTAAATTAAAATTTTAGATAAACAATTTCAGATAAAAAATTTAGATACTTAATTTTTTAAATATAACTATGTTCCAAATATTGCATGGGACATACTTAAAAGACTGGTTACTGTATATCTGAAATTTCAAATTTAATTGGGCCTCTTATACTTTACCTGGTAACTCTACCCCAGGGCTACTGAATCAAGAAAACTCTGAAGGTCATTTCCAGCAATCAGTGTTTTAACAAATCCTCAAGGTGATCTCTAAACAACTGTGGGGCCTAAGGTAAAAACCCATTCCTTTGTAGTAGGTAGTATCTGTAATTGCCAACATATCTACTGAACACTCATTATGTCTAGGCAGTATTTTACATGTTATTTATGGATTTTCTCTTTTAATGGTCATAAACAACCCCATGAGGTGACTATAATTATTGATTACTGTCATTTCACAGATGAGAAAACTAAGAGTAGAAGAGATTAAGCCCAGGATTCAGCATGCTTCAGAAAGCAAACCAAGCCTATGGTCCTCCCTATCAAGCCCACCAGGCATGTCCAATCCTTGGGAATTAGCTCCTCCCTTGGCTCCTAATTAGGTTATGGTTCGTTGAACCTCAATCCATTCTGCTATGGTTCTGAAAATGGGAGAAATATTTCCCAAGGCTACTATTACGATTCTAATTCAAACTAAAACTGGGCATCCCAACACCGCTATTCACCAAATTCAATTTCTACTGCAATTCCCTCTCACCACGTTAGACCTCTAGGTTGTCTGTACTTGGCTAGGTGACATTTGAGTTCCTCCAACCCCTGGAACACTGTGATTCAGACCACTGGCCCTGGCTTTAGCAACCTTCCCTCATAGGCCTCAAGGTCCAGATCCAGGATAGTTTGCAGCTAACTCCCAGGTTAGAAAATATTTCCACTCATTAAGAATAGAATTAAGAGATGTCTCCTTTTTGTCTTTCACATCACATGTCAAAAGCTTCATACATTACAAATCTTAAAAAATATTAAGTGAACAGTGAAAAATCTTAGTCAGTCTCCTGCTGGTCATCAAAATTCAGCATTTAACTGGGTTTTACCTTGAAAATTGATCAAAAAAGAGGTTTAGTTAGGTTTAAGGTATGGTGTATGATTTGGTAAAAGTATTTCATGAAGACTAAAACATCTTATATTCTGTTTTTTAATTTCCAATTTAAAATAAGTGGAGAAGGAGGACAAAAAAATAGGAGCTTGAATTTGACCTGTGATACGGTTTGGATCTGTGTCCCCGACCGAATCTCATGTCGATTTGTACTCCTCAATATTGGAGGTGTAGCCTGGTGGGAGGTGACCGGGTCAGAGGGGTGGATTTCTCCTGTGGTGCTATTCTCATGATAGTGAGTTCTCGTGAGATCTGGTTGTTTAAAAGTGTGTGGCACCTTCCCCTTCTCTGTCTTGCTCCTTCCCCCGGCCATGTAAGATGGGCCTGCTTGCCTGCCGCCTTCTGCCATGATTGTACATTTCCTGAGGCCTTCCCAGAAGTGGAAGCTGCTATGCTTCCCATACAACCTGCAGAACCATGAGCCAATTAAATCTCTTTTTAAAAAAAAAAAAAAAAAAAAAAAAAGAACCAAAAGACATTTATTTACAAAATTTCTTACTTGACCAGTGGTGACAGCCAAAAAACAGTATACCAGAAAAAAATCAACTAACACTCACTATTAGTCTTTAGGACAGTTCACACAAGGGAACCACAAGAGCAGATCCTATTAGGCTAGAAGGATGTCCTCTTGAGTGTTCTTAAATTGGATAAGAATTTACATTTAACCAAAGAGGTCTGTGCAAGTAGCACTGTGGTACGTGTAGGCTCAGTTGACACATAGCTTCTAGAGTGCTGTTCCCTGTATACCTTACATAGCTTTCTTACCACTTTTGTTGATGTCTTTGTCAGCTTCTTCCCCTTATCTCCTCCTTTGTCAGTTTTCTCTTCTCTGTTGATTCCTTCCTCTTTTTCTTCTCCACTATCAGCTTCTTTCTCTCCTCTGTTCTTGGTGTTCTCTTCTTCTCCATTATCAGCTCCTTTCTCTCCTCTCTTCTTGGTGTTATCTTCTTCTCCACTGTCAGCTCTTTTTTCTCCTCCATTGTTGACTTCTTTCTCTCCTTCTTTGTCCTGAACACTGATATAAACAGTTTTGTTATAGCCTCCCTGGTTCCGAGCAATTTCAATAGCAAAGAATTGTATCCTGGGGCCAAAGATGGTGTTTTCTTCAGTGTAGTAGCCCTGAGAACAATCTAGTCGCAGCAGAGTACCATAGTTGAAGTCTTCAACAATCCCATTAAACTTCAAGCAGAATGGCCTCCACTTCTCTTTGGCTGATTCTGACTTGAGTTCCTCTGGGTCCAATACATCTATCTTAAGCTTCTCAAAATTTTTCTGGAACTCAGAGTAAATTTGGTCATCTACTTTGGTGAGTTTCAGGAATTGTGGGTCAACTGATGAAATCAGCTTGTAATAGACTGCAGCATGCTGCATTGCCCTCATGGCCCAAGCCATCTCAATGTCAGGATCGTTGCCATAGGACTCTGCTGGGTGGGAAAGCGCATGTGCCACAGACACCAACTCCTGGGAAACCCGATCCGAGAGCAGCGTCTCACCGGTTCATCAGTTCCACTGGTAGCCGCCGTGTTGCAACCCAGCTAAATCTCTTTTCTTTACAAATCACACAGTCTCAGGTGTTACAACAATGCAAGAATGGACTAATATAAGCTGGTATTGAGTAGGTAAAATAAAAGAATTTCTATGAAGTGATCTTTCCATAAAACTCGATTTGAATCATATTCATATGTCAACAAGAATAAAACATTTTCAGCACCTTCATTTTTCTTTAAAGACTTCCATTCTGCAGAATTATGTCCAAAAGTGTAACTCGGCAAGAAAATCCAAATGGACAAAGTGGCCAGTGTCAAAAGTCAGTGGTCTCAATGTGCAATATAATTTTGGGCAATTCTGTAGAAATAAATTACTGTCTACCAATTTGTAATTCAGATAAAAGTATAAGCAAACATATTTGAATCGTTCTATTTTAAAGCCCTATTTTGCAAGGTCTTCATCTAATCTAAGATACATCTAAATTTTCCCAACTAACTTATGCCACCTAGTTTTACCAAATCCATCTCAATGAAAACAGAGAAGACAATGTATCAGACACCTCCTACTCCAGCTACACATAACTAGGCTACAGCTGGCGTAGATTAAATTCAACTCTTAACAGGTGCTTGGAGGAAAAGCCTTTAACAGATAAGCATGCTTGTCTTTAGGAGCTTAAAAATAACTAAATCATCCTACTTTTTCTACACAAGCAAATGCATGTGACCCAGGCAACAGTAGGAAAGAGGAAATGAAGTGACATGTGAAGATGGAGGAGAAACGGAAGAGAAAAACTAGAAACCTCACAGCCAACAGCAGCTGCAGGGCAATTAAACTCAATGTTTTACAGATGTTCATGAGCAAAAGCTCATCTGTCCAATTTTGACTGACTTTTTTTTTTAAACACATTTCTTGAGACATTCTTTACAAGTCCATTTTTATTTGGGATACTTTAATAATTAAAAAAACCCGAACTTTCCTTCCTTCCAACACTTCAGTCTCTTTCAATTTCATATGCCATTAGAAAATAGCCATTAAAAATGACCACTAATGCCAGAGTGTGACAACCCACTATCACAAATCAAACAAATGAAATATAGCAGTTGAAAATATAACACTCAGCTTCCCAAATGCTGACCACAAATAATGCTTGCTGGCCTGAAATATCCATTTTAAAAAAAAGATGGCACTGAAATGCCCAAAATGATTTCCTCCTCCTTTCGTGACTTCATACGTCACCACAGTGGTCCCAGCAGATCAGTGCATTCCTAATGAGTCTTTCTATTATTAAAATTAATTAGGAAAGTATTCAGTTTGGCCACAGGAGGGCTAGCAATACCAAAATGTGACGACTCAGGTGCCAAAACTTAAAAGTTCTTATTAAGAGGCATGAGGATTACTAAAGACACATCAAGATCCTTTTATTTTAGATTTTGTAAGTAACAAGGTCCCAGTACGAAACACAAACCCAATAATGTATTCATTGTATCGTTAGAAACTACAATGACTCAATGCCCTCAATCGTTTTTCAATTTGTTGCCTTAGTACAAAACAAGAATATTTCAACTGTGCTTATCTGAAGCTAATTGCAATTTTCCAGCTCTTCACACACTTGTGAAAACAGCTCTAGTTAAAATAAAGCTACTATTTTTCCCTAGGTAAGAAGGAACCCTATTTAGTCAGGAGAATGCCATAACTGCTGAAGCAATGAGACCCAATAAAAATGACTGGTCTGGAAGTGTCAGATGAATGGGATTTAGAGAACCACATTAACCAGATGCACAAGGTGGCAACGTCAGGCAAGCCGGGGAACCTAGCATTGCAGAAACCAGGAACCAGAGCAGCAGCATGAGAACCTAATCCAAAGGTCAGGCTAGGGGCCCTGTGAGAATTCTCAGAGTGCCTTCTTATCACAGGAGCAGAAACCAACCCCTGGGCTTGGACAGCCTAGAGCAGGACACAGTGGACTAAGAGCAAATGCACCCTTCACAGAAGTTCAACTATTTCTTCACAGTAAAAAGCAAATAAATAAGCAGAAATGCAACGAGTTCTTCACTTAATGCCATCTATAGGTCCTTAGAAACTTCAATTTTAAGCAAAATGATGTACCACAAAACAAATTTCCCCATTGCCTAATTGACACAAACAAAAGTTGAGTTGCTACGGCATATTTCAGGTTGCAAAAACATCACCAAACCTCGAAATGAAAACAAAAATGCTAATATTAAATACTGAAATAAATGTGAGCTGTGCATACATTTGAGATAAATGACAAGTTAGATATTTACCCACTTAATCCAGTTCAGGGTGGCGGGTGGCAGGAGCCTATCTCGGCAGTTCAGGGCACAAAGCGGACACCAGCCCTGAACAGGACACCATTCCATCTTGGGGCGCATGTACCCACATTCACTCAGACTGGGATAATTCAGACATGACAATTTGAAGAACCTGCACAGCTTTTGGATGTGGGAGGAAACTGGCATATCCGGAGAAAACCCACAGACATGGAGAGAATGTCCTAACTTCACACAGACAGTCAGGCCCTCCAGGAATCCACTTCTTTTTCTCATCAACATTACAACAAAGCGATGTTATTCAAGAACCTGCTGGAGAGTCAGCATTCTAGCTCAGTGAAGAATGCCCAAGGCAATTTAGTCTTAAGCAATCAAGAAATGTCATTTAAAAAATGATGGAAACACACTATGAATGACTTTTCGGGTTTTCAGGACCCTTTTCTGCACTGGATTGGTGCCAGGCAAATAGAGGTAATGGCTTCCTAGAAATCACTAAGGGAAAGAAATGAATAAATTAAGGAGCTTAGAGAAACACTGGTTAAAGAAGATGTGGAAGAACTTATTTATCCGCTGTCTAAAAACTTGGCTTGTACAATTTAAGATCAAGAGTAATTCTGGTCTCATTTGCAAAGGCAGATGGTGTTGACTGGCTACCTAAAGGCCAATCTAATCCCACTTCCCACAATAGAGATTAAAAAGCCACATGCTTGCTTGTCAACCTTACCTGCATGGAGAAGTGGTCATGTGAGCAGGCAAGACCAGAGGTACCCGAAAACAGCTTTCATTTTACTGACAAGGGACAAACTGCCATCAAACATTCTGTCACCCTCTTAGCTCAAACATCTATAAAATGACTGTCCTAGCAGCCATCATCTTGTGACTAAGAGAGAAAGGCCAAAAGAACTGTATAGAATCATTTTTGACTTGTCTGAGTCACTGAACCAGCATCTTCAAAGCTCTTTGATTATGAGTAATAAAATCATATTGTTAGTCGGCTTCTTTTTACTTAAATGAGAATGTATTCCTGATACAAATGCCAATTTATTGTATCCTAAACATTTAACCTCTGTGGAAGATACAGCACCATGATATGCCTAAATGTATACAGTTATCCCTAAATGGTAGGATTACAAGAAATCTTTTTCTTATTTTACTTATCTTTGCTTTCAAATTATTATTCCACAAAGTTTTATTTGATTAAGTAGAGATTAGTAATGGGATTCATTTGACAGTAATATAGCCACATAAGCCTACTTTACCATAAAAGACTTTTGAAAATGGAAAGGCATACCACGATTCTGGAAAACAAATCTTGGCCCAGCACAGTCGCTCATGCCTGTAATCCCATCACTCTGATAGGCCAAGGCACACAAATCTCTTGAGGCCAGGAGTTCCAGACCAACCTAGCCAACACAACGAAACCCCATCTCTACTAAAACTACAAAGATTAGCTGGGCATGATGGCTCACACCTTTAATCCCAATTACTCAAGTGGCTGAAGCATAAGAATCACTTGAACTCAGGAGGTAGAGATAACAGTGAGCCAAGATGGCACCATTGCACTCAGCCTAGGCAACAGACAGAGACTGTTTAAAAAAAAAAATCTCAAAATAAGAAGGCAAATTTCCACTTAGAAACCTATAAATTCAATATATTCCCATCAAAAATCATGGGATGTGTAATGGAACTTGACATGCTGATTTAAAATTTCATTGAGAAGAATAAATACCAGCCAATAATATTTTTGAAAGTTAAAAAAAAAAAAGAGTACTTGCCCTACAGTTTTCTAAGCCAAACATAAAACTACAGTGATTGACACAGCACTGAACTGAAATAGGCCTGGATAAACAGATATAACTTCTAGAGAGTCCAGAATGAGATCTAGATACCTAATCTACCTAAAGAAGAATTAGCTTTTCATCCACATGGTTATGGTCAGGGCTGGCTATGTTCTTAATGACTTTCTTTCCAGAACACAGTGAAGGGCAGCTGACCCAAATCTGAGAGCGGTTTTATGAGTAGATGAAACACTCAGGAACCATTCAGAGAAAGTATGCACTGAGAAAGAAGAATGAAGCCATATATGAAAAAGAGAAGAAATGAGAATGAAGACAAAGGAAGAAAGAGAATGAAACCTGATGGTATTTGAGTTCCTGTAAATAGCTGTTCCCAAGGCATAGCCACCTACTCTGTGGTCTGGAGGCAAAGCCTATTCTCCTTAGTAATTACCCAACTTTGTTTATGATCATTAAGCTGAGCATTTTACACCTGAAATCAAGAAATTCTAATTACACATTTGGAATTGGGAAAAACAGTACATTCTAAAATCACTGAGAATGGACAGAACTGACCAACCGACCATGCTGAGACACTTATTTTACATCAGCAAAACTTAAATCAATATCTTACACAGAAATAAATTCTTTATGGAAAATTGAACAATGAAGTCTAGAAAAAAAAGTGTGTGTTTTCACTATTAGTGTAGAGGAAGCACAACCAAAGAAAATTTAAAAACCAAGAAGCTATAAAAAAAGAAAAAATGATTCATGACATAAACTTTATGCCTTTACATAATAGATAATGTAAAAGCTTGAAACATAAGCAACAAACTGGAAGAAAATAATGTGCCACACTTGGGAAAGGATACCCATAATATATACAAATATATACCAATCAGTAAGAATATAAATACGGTAAAGGGATAAGGACAGGTAATCCGGACAGACAGAAACAAACAGCAAATGTAAACCAAAGTAAAGGGATAAGGACAGGTAATCCGGACAGACAGATAGAAACAAACAGCAAATGTAAACCAAAGTAAAAGTTCCAAGTTCAGAGTATTTGGTTTAATTGCTTAAAATCATAAACCTGAAAAGCATTTATGTAACCCTGGTATATTACCAAGAATTTCTCCTCCTATAAGGCTACTATGGTTGGTAATATGATTACCCTGGAGGACAGGGGGCACAGGATTTCCTCCCTCTGCCCTTCAGGCTTCTCTTGAAGGCAGTCATCAGTAGCATTTCTATTCTGAGCAAATAAAAGTGTATTAAATGATTTACAGTGTTAACTCTGATATCTTAGATGATCAGCATTCCATGGAACAGTTTCTATCTATCTCATATCCTTCCGGTGAGCAGTCACAGTCTATGGGAAAAAAACTAACAAAAGAAAAATAAAATCTATATGCTTAAAATTAAAATAAATAAATATCTGAAGAATATAAACCACTTGTTTGTAATTTCCAAAATTACTGTTCTATATTAAAGGAGGAAATAGATTATAACACATGTTTCTCATTAAATTAGTCAATGTTTAACACACCCCTCTCCCTAGTGCCTCAGGTACTTCATGAACTTAAACTATTATTTGTGCATTTAATTAAAGAAATCGATTATTGCGGTGTTATACATACAGAATAAATATCAAGCAAAATATGTAACTCCTTAAATTCCAAGTTATAGTTGAATTCCAAGAAGCCATAATTCTGATGCTTTATTAGATTAATCTGTTACATATCTCACAGGATACCAGACAAAAAGTGCTTTTGTTTTAAAAAAAGAACCAAAATGCCAGCTAGCATTTCCTTTCAGAAATCATTTCACCACGAGTGTTTTAATAGGCATGTTTCTTTGATCAAGGAATAAAATGCAGATGAATTAACAAACATAAGACACAGGTCAGAAACAATGCACGAGGGGAAAACACTTATACTGATTTCCCATATTTGTGTTGTTTTGTTTTGGTTTTGAGAAGGAGTCTTGCTCTTTTGCCCAGGCTGGAGTACAATGGCACAATCTTGGCTCACCGCAACCTCCACCTTCTGGGTTCATATGATTCTCTTGCCTCAGCATCCTGAGTAGCTGAGATTACAGGCGCCTGCCACTACACTCGGCTAATGTTTCTATTTTTAGTGGAGATGGGGTTTCACCATGTTGGTCAGGCTGGTCTCGAACTCCTGACCTCAAGTGATCTGCCCGCCTAGACCTCCCAAAGTGCTGGGATTACAGGCATGGGCCACCGCACCCAGCCATTTGTGCTGTTTTAAGTACAATGGAGAATAAAATGTTGGATTTGTGTAGTTAGTATCAGAAATATTTTTACTATTCAGAATGCCATAAAAATCATGTATGTTTTATTCACCACACATCTGTATTCCAACATCCTGACAAGCCCTAACACTATGAACCTAATGACTGTATTTATTCAAAATGAACTAATGTTTTTTAAAGTTCATGAAAAACTGAATGTTTTGATTTCAAAACCAAAGCACTAACCTTGGGCCCACGAAATCCCTAGGCCATTAACAGAATGTATATGGCATATACCATTTAACTGACAGAGAGAATCAATACGCAACTTAATAATTATTATATGTCAATTAAATACAAAATAAAACTGAAATATAGAGTTTAGTGTGCGAAAGAAATGCAACCTAAGCCTTTTATGTTTGGTTTGTTTGAGGGGGAAGGTGGGACGAGAGGGAGCATGGTTGGAGGGAGGAGAAACCAGGTGGTGGTTAAGAGTTTCATGACTACAACTTTCTGAAAAAGGTGGAACGAAAGCTGTAACAGCTAGTTAAAGAAAAGGTACCTGTCTCCCTGGTCCAACATTCCAGTTAAGCACGTTAGGTTAGCTGCTGTTTTCTGAACAGCTCAGTGACCACAATGAGAGAGGCACTTCGAATTTCTAAAGGAAGTCCATCCTGTACTTGCCTAGTAACATTTCCTCTCTTTCTCTGAGTTATCCTTTCATATCCACTCAATCACTCACTAAAAGAGAGGGAAGCAGAAAGGGTTTAAGAAGGCTCCACAGACCCTAACCCCATCCTTGGGTATTAGAAAGGTCTCCTTGCTAGCTGGGCTCCAGCTCTTTTCACTCCTACATCAAAGTACAGATTCCCCGAAGATCAAGTCCTTAGTCCTCTGATATGATACTGAACTCTCCCACTCCTTCAGCAAGTCATCCATCATTTCCAGCAACACCC